TATACAAAAGTTTTCAAACTTACAAGCAATATATAGTCTTCTTTTTGGTCTGGAACTTCCTTGATATCTTATCGAGGGTTCACGATGAGCGAGTAAATTTCGAGCTAATGTAAGTACAATTCACTTAATAGGGAGCTAGGTAGCTATGTGGTCTTCACTGGTCAGACGCCAATTTTTTCCACCGATGACGTCAGATAATGTTTTCGTAAAATTACTAATGTCTGATGTGAATTCACTGAAGTTAAATTGTTTGTAATGTTCAACATTTATAAATGTTCCTGGTCAAGTATCTGAAGTGTCTCGATTAATAAACGTTATATCAATCACAGTTTAGCTTTCGAAGTTTATAGTATACCAAATGTATCAAACCAACAATATATGCTGTTTTTTGGCGTGTCGCGTATGTTATATTTAATAGCGTGTGGAGAGTTTCTCGAAATTTCAGCTTACGCAACAATACTGACAATACACTGGCGTTTACGTACACACATATATTGTTGATTCTTACACTCTAGAATCTTCTGCAACTTTAACGGATAGGCGGGAATTTCGCAATACAGATTTAACAGTATAAGTTATGTACATTTCTAAATACAAGTTTAACTTAAACAAATATCAATATTAAAATAAATATATAATAGTAAATCCGTTACACTGATTATACCCAATTTTTTGGTTAGTTTTCTCAATGAATGCTATAAAGGCAAAATATGGAAATTACACAATATGATACAATAACCTGAACCGTATTATACGTCTGACACCTTGTATCTAATAAGGTAAATTATTCCCTCATACAATAAGTTTGCAAATATGCTACTATATCTATATGTTCTGCATGCCAATAGAAGTATTTATTTACAGTCGATCTATCAAAAACTACAGAATATACTTGTTGCCCTGATAGTGTGAGTAATTGAGCTATTATATTATGTCGATTTATCTTTTCAGTAGTTAGCATTAAGTATATTATTTAATATAAATATTACTGTCTGCAGAGCTGGAGAGTTTGGTAATTGTGTTAGGAAAATAAGAGATGGTGATTTGGTACCAATTCCTGCCATTCATTGTCTACATATAATTATAGTATTGTCGTTTGGAGATCGAGTTAAACACAGATACTCTGGGCAACATGAAAAAAAAACCCTGGGTAAAAATATGATACTAATTCGGTATTCGTAAAGATATCCAAGTAAATGTTTGTTGAGTTTCGTGCAATTCTCCCAATTTTGAAGACTAGGGGAGGGAGAGGTATCTAGTCAATACCACCCATCACTAACTATTCTAATTGAATAGTGAGATTGACCGTAATTCTTATTATGCAACCACGGCCCAAAGTTTTTTTTTCCTGCGGTAACTGGGTGCGAACCACAGAACCTTGGATCCACAGACAGACACGCTAAACACTGTGCTGCCATCGGCCCCCTAGAAAATGTGTGCGCGTATATAACAAATGGAATTCTGATAAATATCCTGGACCTGTATTTTAATAACTATACATAGGCGTACAAACCAATAAATACTCTAACTCTATAAATATATAGACGTACAAATCGATAAATATTATAGATTTCTATTCTAATAAATATACAAAAGCGAACAAATTGATAAATGCTCGAGATTTATAATCTGGTAAATATACACAGATGAACAAAACTGATAAATGCTCTAACCCTGTATTTTAGTAAATACACACAGATGTAGAAACAGATTCTGGATTTGTATTTCAGTAAATATAGACAGACATACAAACATATAAATACTATAGTTTTTTATTTTGGTAAGTATAGAAAGGCATACAAGTTGGACTGATTTCATTCGCAAAATCTAAATATTTACCTGTTCATTTTAATCAGGAAGTCTCCTCTATTTAGATACGCTCCAGTGTAGTCAGATCGCAGTTTGATAGCCTCTTGATATAGCTGACAAATGGAATAAAGAACCAGCTTAAAAAGTCATGCAACGAATGTTTCTCAAGTATGGACATATTATTGTGTATTTCGATAGTAGTTGAACAACCGTGATACAAAAATATAATAAAAATCAAAGCAATTTTTGTTCTAGAACTTTGTTAACATTCATATATATATATTCACATGTCTGTCTGATACCTTAGTGACCTGATAAATTCGTTTCTGTTGGTGACATATATCTGTAAGAAGTATGATCTGAGAAGTTATGTGGGTTGAGTGGATTCACTTTTAACATGCCTTTATTTGTAATTGACTTGGCGATGTAAATTTGACCTTTATACTTCTAATATAGGTTAAATGTTAAGAAGTATGATCTGAGAAGTTATGTGGGTTGAGTGGATTCACTTTTAACATGCCTTTATTTGTAATTGACGTGGCGATGTAAATTTTACCTTTATACTTGTAATATATGTTAAATGTTAAGAAGTATGATCTGAGAAGTTATGTGGGTTGGGTGGATTAACTTTTAACATGCCTTTATTTGTAATTGACGTGGCGATGTAAATTTTACCTTTATACTTGTAATATATGTTAAATGTTAAGAAGTATGAT